TGTACAGAAGCCACATTTCTGGCATCTGCCGAGCTCATGAACATGAGATGTGCCTCCCTTTGTTGGAGCCAGATGAGCACAGAACACCGGATACACTTACCCGACACTTTCTTTGAAGAGTGGTGCAGAGAACATACCTGTAAAAGCAAACTCCAGGGCGTGAGCACAGGTTGTGTGACTGACTCTACATGAACATGTGGAGCTGTGGCCAAGAGCAAGTCTTCCTTTAAAGTCACACTTCACTGCAGCTTTTCCACAAAGGTGGCCTTGCTACCCTGGGAGAGACTATGCTATTGATATGTAAAAAGATATTACGCTTGAATGTATGTACCCCTTTGCTGGGGCACAGAACCCTAGCCAAAGACATTCTTTATGAAAATCCAAAGAACATCTCTCAGTTCATTTACCCTAAGAGGTGATTTTGAATTACTTCCACTCAGGAAATAGAAGGAAAGCATTTTTTTTTTTTCAGAGTATAAATGGAGACCCAAGGAAGTTAGGATCCAGAGTAAGAAGATTCAAGTTTTGGATGGTGCCTTGTACATTTTATCAGGATTCTTAAATCTGTGATGATACAGTCTGGACTGTGTCCTTGCTGGTGAGGATTCATGGGATTATTCAACATTGAACACAGGAGTTTTAAAGAACAATGAGAAAAATATGTAAATGAAAGTCCACTGCACATATTCCTGATTTTGAGTTTGCCATCGGATGAACATAGTCTTGTGTTCTTTCACCAATGTGGGAAATAAACCAAAAGACTGTCTCCCAAGGGTTTTACTAAAATTTGCGAGATATATGAAGGATAGAGATGAGGTTTAAAGAATCCAGGAGGGAGATATGTTAATTATAGAGGAAATAGAAGGATCGTATAAAACGGATAGAGGATGTTTGTGTTTGTTTTTATTGAGACATGAGTTGCTCCCTCTAGCAGATCTAGAGGAAGTCTGTGAACAAACCAGGTGGCAATAAAACAGTAGTTGTAGAGAACTCTCTGGTCTGGCTGGCATGACATCAAGTAATGAAAGCACATTCAGGGATAGGTTAATGTGCATTTGTGGCAGGGAGGGAGAATCCCCAGTGTGAAACCGAATCAGGAGAAGCATCCAAAGGTGCTTCCTACCCCAGGGAAGGCAGAGAAGGGGTGAACCTCAGCATGGATCCTGTCATGTAGGAAAGGGCCATGTGTGGAGAGTGAGGATGTTATATGTTCTGGAACAATCTACACATCTGCAAGTTACCAGATGTGACTGAAAAAAATCACAGAAAACAAGGTGCTTAGAGGTGAATTGTGTGTGATCCTTGTTGATATTCAGAGAAGAGTGGGTTTTGGGAGCTAATTGTGAGGGGAAAGAAAAAAAAAACCTCTGGGTTTCCCAACCCCTAATGAGTTTCTACAGTTATATTTTCACAGAAACCTAAAATTTTGTCTGAATTTGACAGGGTTTCCCCAATGTTTCAAGTATTATTTATGGATGATGCCTACATTCATTATTGTCAAGGATCTTGGATAGTAGCTAGCACCTTGAAAGTAGTATACGCTTAATGAATAATTACTGGGTGAATGAATCAAGCATGTTCCCAAATGAAGACCGTGTTTTACATCAATTAAAATAGGAATCAATAATGTGCAAGATACAGCCTACATTCTTTTTATTACAGCCAATTGGCAAGCTGAGAATGTGCTCTAACAATTCGAATCTCCCTCTGAGGTAAGTTTAATGACTATCAAGAGAGATCTTGGCAGCTCTCTCCTGGGATCCACAGCACGTTTTAAGAGGACAGTGGACATTATGCTAGTGGCCGGTGAGATAAACCACTTCGCAGTGTGCAAGAGGACATGTGGTCCTGCCTATTGCAACCAGTGAATTCTCTACTGAGGTCTAGAACTGATGCAGATGGCATGAGAAACAAGTCTGGCTTGCAGACTAGCTCTTGTCTACTTGGTTCAAATTTCAGTTTTTTATTCCAGAGGAGGTAGAAGACTCTTTTGCTGCCTCACGTGCAAGGGAAGAACTAAAGCTGAAGTGGAAAAGGAGGCAAGGAACAGGCTGGGGTAGGCACTGTGAGCCAAGGGTGACGGGGCAGGAAGGGCTCTGGTGGGTCTCTGAGCAGCATCCCATGGCTGGGATTTGGCTGATGAAAGAATATATAACTGGGAGATACACTTTGGCAACTCAACTCACTTACTTGATAACAAAAAGGGCCTTAGAATCACAGGACCCTGAGTAGAAAAGGCAGTATTCTACCAACCTAGTGCTGTACAGGCCTTGGAGCACCAGACCTTCAAGCTTCTGGGATGTGCACTGACCAATCTTTTCAATCATTCCCCTCAATGACATGACACTGGCTTTGACCTTCCCCAACTCTGGGTCCATCTCACCATACATTTTTGCTGCTCCAGAGCTCATAGGTACGGCTGTACCTGCAAAGTTGTAGTTTCAGAATGGGCTCTTAATTCTGCTTAAAAACATTTTTACAAGTTCCATCTTGTTTTCATTCCCCACTGTGATTTTTTTCTCCCTCCTCAAGACAAGCTCCTGTTCACAGATGATAATCATCTAGCAGCTCCCATCTGTCGAGCGCCTTTATGTGAATACATTGGACATACCTTATCTTTAATAATCTTAATAACTCATGTAAGCAATGCATTGTTATCCCCATTTAATAGACAACAGCTCAGCAAGGTCACTCTGCATGTGTTCTGGCCACTGCGTCAGGCTGCTTCTCAATATAGAAGGCTTTATAGTTTAGAACGTGCTCACACATACATTATACAATTCTCTAACCCAAGAATTAAATATGATTATTGTCTTCATTTTACAGAAGATAACACTGAAAGGTAGATAGGTTATGTGGCATCATTCACAGGCAGCTGAGCTGGGATTCAAACTTGTGTCCTCCTAAAACTAGTGCTTATCCAACAGTATAGTGTAAAAAAAATGGAAGCTCTCAGACAGAAACTCCCTCAAATTTTTTTATATCCACCTTCAAATTTATCTTTTTTTGACTCCTCCTCTCCTTCAGTTTCAGGGAACTGACTCTATTCTGTATTCCTAAAACTTCTCTCAATTGTTCATGAGAGAATTATCTATACCCATTTGTTCAAATTTCAACTGTCTGCAGATGACTCTCAAATAAATCATTCTCTGCACTCCATTTCTTTTAAATTACTAAGTAAGGGCATATTTTCATAGTAATATACCTTTATATATACCATATACAGCTCCTCCACCTCCTCAGTTCTCTACAACTAATTATATGTTTTTCTTGAGCAATTCATGTACTGCGATAACTCCATACTTTTGCTCATACTGATTTGAAATGTTGTTGTTATTTTTATCTATTTGTAGAAATTGCATCTATTCTTTAAGAATGTGCTGAAATGTTATACCTATAATATATATTTCCCCAATTCTTCCAGTCAGATTTAATGATAGATTCTTTATGTTCTCATAGGACTTTGCTTACAAGAATAAATACATCACTTATCACATGAAAAAATTATTTGTCTTCATCTCTGTTTCAACTTAGGGGCTCTCAGCACAATAGAGACAAGATGAGAATTTTATTTATCTCCACACACCTTGAAGCAATAAGCATGGCCCTTGAGTGTTTGTTGAATGAATGAATGAATGAATGAATGAATGATAATTCAGTTACTGTTCCAATTTTTCAACATGCCCAAAGAGGGCATCATCTGGGGTTATTTTTTTTTCTCATCATAAATCTTCACTATTATCCTGGGAATTTTTCTTCCCTGTTTTGTGAAAATATTGAGTTTTAAATGTAAAAAAATTACCTGCTGTATGAAAAACATGAAAAAAGAAAGGGCATGATACATCATTTTTCTCGTAAAAGTAAATACACTATGTCATCTAGGTAATCAATGTTACAAATAAGCATCCTGAAAAATTAAAATTTGTATTTGTAAATTAAAAAATAAGATAATAGGAATTGATCTTCTATTAATAAATGCTATGTTCACATATAACACAATAGTAAACTTCATTAGATTGGAATGGGTTTGGGAAGGTAGAAAAAAAAGGAAGAAGCTAGCTTGAATTATGGAAGTCAGAATTTATTGAAAGCAATGCAGTTTTATTACTTTCAATACTATGATCTGTCAATAAAGTCTGTCTACGGAGACATCTACTTAATGACATGGATCCTTATTTTATAGCTGACTCTTTTTTGCCTAAAGACCATATGCTAAAGCCATGAAAACAATTATTCTTTTAAAATAAGTTACAGATGTTGCCTCTATTTATCAAATGCATTCCTGGCACACAATTCAAAGGTAAATTTCATGGTAGTCTTGGTCAAATGGTCAAAAAATTGTATATTAGCAATATCTAAATTAATAAGGTTTTACTGTATTCTTAGAGGAAGACATTTCTGGAAAAAGTCCAATAACTCAGGGAATTGTTGAATACTTTTTGAAAAAAAATTTAAAATTTATTTTTAGAGAGAGGGGAAGGGAGGGAGGAAGAGAGGGAGAGAAACAATGACTGGTTGCCTCTCATACGCGCCCCAACAGGAGACCGAATCTGTAATCCAGGCATGTGCCCTGACTGGCAATCAAACTGGCGGCTTTTCCTTTGAGATATTTCACTTTGCAGGACGATGCCCAACCAACTGAGCCACACTGGTCAGGGCAGAGTTAAAATAGTTTTAAAGAATAACAGAAAAAAAAGAAAATGCTTTCAAATAAGATGAACATTAATTATTCGTTAAGCTAGATATAACTGAAATCTATCTTAAAAGTCCTTGGTTTCCTCTGTAAATTTCATGAGGGCAAGGATCATGGTTTTCTTGCTTCTCTCCCCCACCCTTCAGGACTTTATACCCCAATAGTGCCACATAGGCTGTGCCTTCTGGTGAGTTATCATTGTAAGAACAGGTGTTTAAAAACGACACTACGGGATTTTCAGATATTCTAGTTGTTCTGCTTATCCATAACTATCCAAGACTCAAACCTTATAAAGAGTTTTACTCACTGAATCTGGGTGCAGGCTGCAAGTAATTTACTGGCCCCCATCCTAGAAAAGAAGAGAAAGGGAATTCATATATTAGCACCACATCCAGAGGCATTTTAAAAACTTTTTACATGAAGATACCTCAGCGACTCTAATAATTTATTTTTAGCACAGAAAATCATGGGGAGGTTTTAAAAATAGAATATGCCATCCCTAGTGGGTTAATGAAGAGGTGAAGGGTTGGTGTCACTGACCAGGAAACAGGGCATTACCTTCAAATTTTGGCACAGGAAAGACTGAACTTTCTGCCTCTTTCCTCTGAGTCAGAGAAAGGAGCTGAGGGCTGGTGAGGTAGGTGGAGGTGCAAAGCACCCATTGCAAGGAAGAAAATTTCCCTGGATTCTTTGCCATCTATGCCATAACATATCAATGTATTAATATGCAATCATGGCTTTCACTTGGAATCTCTGAGTTTTTGGGATAGATTTTTTGGTAAAACTGGTGCTCAGGATAGATAGGCTGTGTGCATCTCTTGGCATTGAGTATACACACTAGCCCTGCTTTTAGATACTTCAGTTTGTGAAGCTTGGAAGAGTAAGTGAACTGAGAAATAGCCTCTTTGAGGGAAGTGATCCCAAGAATATTTAAATCATCCAGAACTAATGGTACTGTAGTTTATTCTGTAGTGAAGAGCTTTAAGAAAGAAATATTGGGGTTTGGTTTTCCTTGAACCAATGATTTTTTTGTCCTGATAATTAAGAAGAACCTCTTTCTAACAGATGAAGTTGCTAAATGTGGCATAGTGCAGGGGTCCCCAACCGGTCCATGGCTTGTTAGGGACCAGGCTGCACAGCAGGAGGTGAGCAGCTGGTCAGTGAAGCCTCTTCTGTATTTACAGCTGCTCCCCATCACTCCCATTACTGCTTGAGCTCCGTCTGCTGTCAGGTCAGCAGCAGCATTAGATTCTCATAGGAGTGGGAACCCTACTGTGAACTGCACATGCGAGGGACCTAGCTTGCGTTCTCCTTATGAGAATCTGATGCTTGATGATCTGAGATGGAGCTGAGGTGGTGATGCTTGCCCTGGGGAGTGGCTGCAAATATAGACTATCCTTAGCAGAGAGGATTGGCTGCACAGAGACCATGATAAATCCATGGCTTGCAGACTCACATCAAAACCCTACCAGTAAGTGGCAAGTGACAATTAAGCTGCATCTGGTGGCAGTCTGTAAAGCTACCCCCCCTTCTGTGGAAAAATTGTCTTCCATGAAACTGGTCCCTGGTGCCAAAAAGGTTGGGGACTGCCGGTGTAGTGTATCTCTTCCTTTTTAGTTGTCTATGGGGAGGGGAGAGCCTGAGCTCATTCTGAGAACAGTCCTGGGGAACTGCAAGATGGTAATTATATGACTATTTGGCCTTGTGTTTTATAGATTACACTGTTCCAAATCTTCTCTTAAATACAATATTACATTCATAAATATATAACATAATTATATACTGTATAATATACCACATATTTCATATAAGTATAATTTTAATATAAATATATATTTGCATACTAAACTATAGATTAATATATTATTATATTATATATACATATATGTAAGTTTTGCTCTCTGCATGCTGTCTTGTTTTTTAAAACACCTCTAAGTATGTTGATTAAAAATTTGAAAAAAGTACTCAAGAATAAGAAGGCTTAAGCAATGGTAGGATTAATTCTCTGTCCCACTATCCTTCTCCATTTAAACAACCTACTATCAGTGCAACTCATTTATACTATGGCTTTTCTAACCCTAATTGAGGCAATAATACTATTGACATGTGCTTTTTAAATTAATCTTTCACTAAATTTCACTTGTGTTAAAATATGCCAGTTTATATTTATGTCAATTAAATGTTATTCTATCTTTAGAACATTTTAAAAAATACATCCATGGGTATTTTGAATAGTATTGTCATGAATTTCCTGGTATAAGGTATGAGCAGCTCCACTTGGTTTTGTAATTTCTGCATTTTGAATGAAGGTATTTATAAGTCATTTGTATAGCTCATCAATAAGTTATGAGTCCTACAGTATAACTGATCCCCATGGGTTGGAACTTGATATGTAATCCATGGCTTCAACCCACTCTGATGTAATTGCAACTCTATATTTACTTGTCCACCCATGTAACAGTAGCATGATTAAGGTCACACTTTCATAGCTTCGTGATAAGAATATTGCTTAGGCTAGAATCCAAAATCTTCCTCCACACAAAACGGATTTTATCCAGCATCTTCTCATTGTTTATGTAATCTGACACGTAACCATGGAAGGAAATTAAATCCATGTGGAAAAAATAACTATTCAAAAAGTCAAATGCAGCTGCTTCCTTATCTCTTAGGATATTCTGGTAAATTGTTTATTGATTGCATGAGGAACTGTTCTCATCCGGTATTGCTTTGAAGCTCTTGGGCTTACTGTGATCAAGTTTTACAATGATTGAGTTTCACAATGACAGGCTTTTGCCCCCATTTCCAAGATGCCTCAGGTGAAAAGAGTATAAGGTCATCTAACATTTTTTACACTTACTGTGGTAAAAACCCACAAACATGAAATCTATTCTCTTAGCAAGTTTTTACATGCACAATACAGTACTGTTGACTGTAAGTACAATGTTGTATAGCAGATCTATAGAACTTTTTCATCTTGCATGACTAAAACTCTGTATCGATTGAATAGTAATTCCACATTTTCCTCCACCAAGCCTTTGGAAGCCTCTGTCTGACAGTTTCTTAAGGGTCTCAGAAAACTGACTTTAGGGCGCATTAAGAAGAGTACACTCAGAAATTGCATACTCTTTCCTGGTCTAGTTTGGCTCTCCACACATCAGAGGCTGAATTATATAAGTTAGATGAATATATGTCTATTATACTATATAGTAAACTGGTTAAAACACAGGAATGATCCAGTCTTAACTCTTTATAATTTCCCAAAACCTTGTTTAGTGTCATGTATAAATAGGTATTGAATTAAATTAAATTTTAATATTTCTTTTCAGGGGTTGATATTAATATTAATTTTAAGGATCTTATAAAAAGACAGGAAAGTAAACAGCATTTATTTTTGGAATTTATGAATTGTCTCTTTTAAAAAGCATCCTCCCTCCCTCTCCATAATAGTAAAAGCATGGATATCTCTTTAAAGGTTTTGAATGGATATCCTAAAATATTAGGGGTGTCCAACCTTTTGGCATCTCTGGGCCGCACTGGAAGAATTATTGTCTTGGGCCTCACATTAGATACACAAACACTGATGAAAACTGATGAGCACACCCACACAAAAAAAAGAGGTTTAAAGTAAATTTATGATTTTGTGTTGGACCACATTCATAGCCATCTTGGGCTGCATGCAGCTCATAGGCCGTGGGTTGGACACCCCTGGATTTAGAATATTTTTAATGTAATGATTACCTGGGATTTAGGCTCAGTCAATAGTATAGGCTGACTTCTTCGCTATATGATCATGTATTAAATAACTATGAATGTACTTCCATGGTCAGCTATGAAAACGGTTTTAAATGTCAGCATTTGGGCTGGTTTCATATAACAGAAATTAATTGGGTTTGACCAGATTCACTAAAATAAATAAGAGGTTAAATTTCATACCAAGTGTACATGTTTTTATATTGTGCTTACAAGATTGATTATGCCATTAAAGGCTTAATTTAGTGGCACACGCAATCTGATGAAACAAGATCTTTCCTCTTCATCCCATTACTTCACTCTGGATCATTTTTGCTTTTGGTGGTAAAGCAAATTTCACCTGCTGAAACTTGGTGCAAGCACCATACTAAGTGAATAGGTCTAGATCTTGATAGGAAAGAATTTTTTTAAAACAGCACTTCACTGACCCTTTCTGAGTGTTTGAGAGTTCCATGCAGCATGAACAGCACTCCGAACCAGGCAGAGAGCACACTCAAGTGAGAGAATGCAAATATGACCATAATGTACTTTTCTCAAAGTAATTCTGGCGACAATAAATTATCGTCATCCTTACTTAACAGAGAATAGAACAATAGGAAAAAAAAAAGGCTGTACAGTTTCCTAAGGCCATGTGGCAATTTGTTGTTAAATTTGAAATAGGGTTACATTTCATGAATGGATCAGTTTTTTTCCCCCCAGCTAACTGTTCAGAAATGCGATTATTAATACCTTCTTAATTTTACATAGAAGTATTCTGGTACAAATCAAAATGACCACAGTGAAGTTTAGATCCTTTGTTACCTAACATTTGGTTGTTAGATTTAAGAGTTTATCCCAATATTTTCTTTTGAAATATTGATTTGGTTTATCCTTACTTTCTTTTCTCTTTTGTTCTAAAATTACCTAGATGTACAATATTAAATCAGTAATGACCACAATAACATTTAACATGTATGGAATCCTTATTAAATGTCAGACATGCTGATGAGCACTTCATGTGGACCTTATTTAACACCAGAAGAATCCCAAGGGGCTAAGACCTATAGCATTTTATTTTCAGTAACTCAACTTTATCAGGTTTTTCTAAAACATCATCATACAAATAGCAATTCCGCATCCATATGTCATTAGTTTACATAATTTATAATTGAATCTAATAATTATATGAACAAGTACAGTTGGCCTCTCAGGTTTGGAAATAGACTCTTGGTCCACATACATATACGCAGGTCGGGGCAAAAGTTTACAAGGATGCACGTCAGCTCTGGTGGTGAACAGCTGTGAGCATCAGTCGGTAGGTTATACCAGGGAAGGAGGCGGGATACTTAATCGGGGAAATCATTTAAGAGGAGGCCAGTTAAAATAACTTCTGCTGTATCTGATATTTTATGTATGTATTACTATGGTAAAACTAAGATAAAATATATATATTTTTAAGTGGAGGGGAAAGGAAAAAGGGACAGAGTTTAGGTATCTTGTCCAAGATTGCAAAACTAGAGGTGACACTAAGATTTGGCTCCAGAATCCAGCTTCTAAATCCAGCACCCCAGTCGCCTTTCTTTCCATCCCATGAGCCTCAGGACAGAGATGACTGTGGAG